CGCGCTAACCCTGGCTGGCTGCTTTGCAAGCAATTCTCCTCATAACCACAGTAATTACAGTGGCATGACAACAAGAACGTGCTCTTGTGAGTGCACATTTTTACTTTATTGCTGACCTCAGGGTTAATAATATTTGCATGTTATTGCATGGCTGACAGGAGAAACAACTGATTTTAGAGTAAAAAGGGCAGAAGAAATTAACTAATGCAGACCTGTTCATATATGCGTGCTTCCGTCACACCAAAAAAGCCATGCTGGAGCCTGCAAAGCATGGGCCACAACACTGGGTCTCTGAAGAGAAAATCTTTGTTGTTGTGACTCCTTCCTAGTGATCCGGACCTGTGATGTGCAACCGTGAATGAGAAAGTCAGTTTGCCTGCTGCCCTGATCACCGACGGCCATAATTCTCACATCGGCCTAACGCACTAAACATCTCTGGCCTGAAACTCAGCAGAGGAACTTTAGACAATCAGACCCCAGGGCGATAATGTTGCAGAAAACCAGAAATGGAACCAGAACCACACTACTGGGTCCATATTTAGACGTTTTTCAGTGGTCTATATGCCAAATTTCTGAGTGTGGGTAACATGCAAGAAGAATTGGGTATTTTCATTGATGAGGAGAAATGAGATCGAACGGACATCATTACTGAAACAGGATGATTTACCAAATTGGAATATTAAAATATTTTGCCACAATCCTTTTAAACAAATAAAGAAATCTGAAGATGTGAGAAGGTAACAGTATGTATTAAACCACCGTCATTATTTTAGAGATGCGGTAACTGGTCCCAATGAACCCTACTGAGGAGGGGTGGAATGGAGTGGAGATGGCTCCAGAGAATCAGACTGCGTATTCCCCCAGTGCACAAAAACCATGCTCAATTTGGAGCTGCGTGAGGAAAAAGCCCCAAATAGCCAGCAGCCACGTCTCATTAGATTTTCTAAAACTTATTTTCTATATGACAGAAGTTATTCTAGTCTATATGGAATAAGTATTTTGGAACTCATCATGTTTAAACAATTTAATCCTGGGACAAGAAAGTGGTGGTTGCTTAGGAGCCAGCAATCACAATTTGATTATAATAAGCAAAAAAGGACAGCTCCAGCCAGGGAAATACTTTCCTACACACACAGAGACGCTTCAGAAAGACAATCTCCATCAAGATGAGAGAAAGGATGAGAAAAAAACGCTTCAAAAACAGAGCTAGAAATGTAAATGAGAATTCTTATGATCTTGCTCCATAGTCTGAAAGACATGATTGCATAATTAACAAAATGGCCAATTTTGGCTGAAGGACAATTTTGGCTCAGCAGCAGGGTGAAGGAAACACTCAGAAGTTAAAAGCATAGTATAGAGCAATGCGGAAAGGCAAAAGGATAGGAAAAAACGTTCTGGAGTATACAGAAAATGCAGACTACAGGAAAAGCATGAGCGATGTGACTACAGACAGCGAAATGGGGAGTGCAACAATGCCGAGGTGTATGACTAGACAGAGATGGTAAAATAGCACAGAAGTGGCAGAAATGGTAAAAACTTCTATTCCCTCCTTTGAAAGATTAAGGAAGAGGCACTTTATTATCTAGTAAAAAAAATGAAGCACTTTTCAGTCCATTAGTGAGTAATGATGATCAACATCTACTAGAACAAACATTTTAAAATTAGGGTATCTAGGGAACTTTTGCATAACAATCCTTGAAGAACTGGCAAAAGAAATCTCAGGAACGTTGATTTTAATAAATCTTGGAATACGGAGGAAATTACAGAAGATCATGGCAGTGTTCAAAAAGGGCAAGAGAGGTGACCAGGGTGCCTAGGCCACGAGGCTGATCCGCCCAGGGCAAGCATGGAAAAGGTGACAGAAAATGAGTCAAGGAAGGATTAAGGAGCAACGATGTATTTAATGCCAGCCAGTATACACTCTTCTAGAAAACGGATCCAGCCAGCCAAACCCAATTTCATTCTTTGATGGCATTACACGTTTGGCTTATAAATGTAATCACATCATTGCCATTTACTCAGATGTTTGCACAGAGCCTGATTTAGCACCTCCTGGCACTGATTAAAAATTAACATAAATCAAGCAGCGGGAAGGCTCATATGTAGTGGGCTTGGGAGGGGCTGAGAGCTGCGAAAAGCGGTGGGAAGTGTTAGGTGGCTGGCCTCACGCCTCAGGCGTTTCCCGCTGTTCCCCTGGCCACCGGCCCAGGTGTGGGGGCATGAGGGTGAGCAACCATGAGGCGCGGGCGGGGGACCTGCATCGCCTCCCACCGCCAAAATTCCCCTCAGTGCGGGGAAAAGGGAGACAGGCCCGCTCAGGCAGCCGAGGGCAGGGGGGCAACGGCCGCC